TTCCTCCAGCAGCGGGTTTCTGGGTTTCCGAGGCCAGAAGCCAAACCCCTGTCTGTACAAAGGCTTTAAGGCCTCATCCTGTCCTTCCCAGGCCCCACCCCCACCCCCAAGGGTTTCCAATGAAGATACATACAGCAAGCACAGACACCATAGGGATAACTATCTGTCACCTCCAAGCTAGGTATCTGCCACTTCCTGTCACTAATGTCCTCTATTTCAGAAAACTGGCATTTCGGGTTTGGGGTGTGTTCAGGTCTGAAGCCCAGGACAACCGGCTGAGGTGCCTATGAACATATCAAAGTGGACTCTGGCCACCAGGTTCTCCCAGCACCCCTCAGTCACTACCTGTTACAGGGTCCTCCTACCCTGACCCCCTCCCCTAAAATTATCCTGCCTGGGGACTGGGCTGGGCTTTCTCCTCCCCCAGCTTTTCTGGCCCTATCTAACTCAACCATTTTTGGCTACCCCAGTCTCTTGGCCCAGGCTTCCCGTCCTGGTTGGTGGGTCCTCTGTTGTTCTTCCCCTCCCATGTGAAAGAGCTCCTCTCACGGCCCAGCTTGCTCTGGCCATGTTCTCTCTGGATCCCCCCAGATGCCTCTGTCTCTGCCTGTTGTCTCTCTTATGTCCATAATAAAAACCTCAAGCCCTTACAAGCAGTCATGTCCCACTTTTATTTCTGTTTTCATTCGGGGAGAAAGAAAAGACAGCTGAGAACAGATTCCTCCCCCGTGGGCCTCCTTTTGGGTGTGGGCAAGGTGATAACATGAGAAGTGAATTCCCTTTGGGGGCCATCCCAGGGAAGTCTAAGTAGACTGCAGAAGTCACGGAGAGGGCAGGATGGAGAAGGCAGGCTTCCCATCACTGCTATGTCGAGTGCTCGCTTTCCTCTGCTCGGCTGTCTGCCCCTGGCTTGAGCTAGGTGGTATATCCGAAGCCTCACTGCATCTAAGTCCCCAGCAGCATGCGGTAAAGTTGGCTCAGGGGGAAACTGAGGCCGGGAAAGCAGTGATTCATGGCTGGAGTAAAGGTGTTCGGATTTCATCCAGGGGACACCAAGGTCCCCAGCCCCTTCCCAGTGGTTCTGAGATGCTTCCATAGCTCTCTCAGGAAGCTGTTCCTAAAACACCCAGAAGTGTGTGGTCTGGGGAGTAGGACACCGAACCCTAACCCTAACCCTAACCCTAACCCTAACCCTAACCCTAACCC